CTCCCTTGGCTGCCTGCACGCCCCCTGCAACTCACACCCCGCCAACCAGGAGCCCGCATCCCCTAAAACTCTCCCTTGGCTGCCTGCACGCCCCCCTGCAAGCTCCTCCCACCGCCCCGCCCCCGAGGCCCCTGCTGTCCACCCCCAACCGCCGCTGACGGCACAAAGCCCTGCCCTTCCACCAACCCCCCGGGCCCTACAATTGGTTCAAGGGTCTCAAGCGAACGGGCGCAGCTTTTCCGAGCCGGGCCTCGCGGGTCTCGGTTGCCTTATCTGGCCGGGTGGGCCTTACTCGGCGCGGAGGCCTGTGCCCCCTTCTTGCCTATGCGCACGCTCACCCAACCCTGTGAGCAAAGCGAACCTTCCCGCCACTGCGGCCGGCTGCCTGATCCCTGGCTTCCCTGCGCCGGGTGCTGGGCTGTTTGCTCTAAATCCCATGTCAGGTACCTGGCTCACCTCCTGTCCTTGTAAAACTGGGCTCCTCGCCTTTCCTCCGCCTTTTTCTGCCTTTGAAGATGTTCATAAATGCCAACCATAGATGACTGTGACCAGACAGATCAACTAGTGTAGTTCCTGCATTTCGCAGAAGAAACATTGCAGGGAACGCAAGTGGCCTGTCCAATGCCATTAACCTGAAGGAGGGGACCCACTTGGGTAGGACGCCCCCCGCTGCTCCTGGCTTCTGTACAAGAGGAGCAGTCACGTTCCTGCCTTACAGTTACCGAGAAGTGAGAGACCTTACATTGAATGCTCAGAATGTCTGAGAAACTGACGGGCACCATCGCTATAGGTAATTGTAGAAAGCAAAGAATGTGTATAGTGCTTGTGGTTTAAAAATTATTTTCCCAAATCTATTATCTAATTTGGCCTTACCAACAGCCCTCTGAAGCAGGGAGGGAAAGGATTTTTATCTCCATGGCTAAGGTCAGCCCCCATATGCTGTGTGTGTGTATATGTTGGAGTGTGTGTCTGTGTGTGTCTTTTCTCCTACTCACACCTCACTCCCCAATGGAAGAGTTTTTGTTTTCCTTTGTTCTGTGGGGATTTCTTGGAAGGCATTTGTGCCTCTGACTGAAGAAGCTAAAATGACACACATGAATTCCTATTTTTCACCTGGGATAAAGCCACGGAGCTCTGTGGGGGGTCGCTTGGACGTTTGAGGGGAAACTGCTCACCTCAGGCTTCTCTGGGAGGTACTTAACGCCCCACAGCTCACCTGGTTTCTTGCCCAGGAGCCATGGACGCTGTGGAACTTACCAGAAAGCTGCAAGAGGAGGCCACTTGCTCCATCTGCCTGGACTACTTCACAGACCCGGTGATGACCGCTTGTGGGCACAACTTCTGCCGAGAATGCATCCAGATGAGCTGGGAGAAGGGGAGACGGAAGAAAGGGAGAAGGAAGAGGAGAGGCTCCTTCCCCTGTCCTGAGTGCAGGGAGATGTCCCCACAGAGGAACCTCCGGCCCAACCGCCTGTTGACCAAAGTGGCCGAGATGGCCCGCCAGCACCCCGGCCTCCAGAAGAGAGACCTGTGTCAGACGCACCAGGAACTGCTGAAACTGTTCTGCCAGGAGGACCAGAGCCCGATCTGCGTCATCTGCAGAGAGTCCCGAGAACACCGCCCCCACACTGTGTTCCCTATCGATGAGGCCATCCAGGATTACAAGGTGGGCTGCACCCCAGAGGGCCAGGGGATGCTGGGAGGAGAGGGGCGTGTGTCAGTGAGGGCAGGCTAGCTACTGCTGTGACAAATAGACCCCCAGGGGCCAACACAGTGGAAGTTTTCTCCTGCTCCCAGGACACAACCAGGTGGGTGGCCAGGTTGGCAAGGGAGCCTGCCTCCAGTTGTCTTGGCTACCTAGTGAGCTATTACACCAATACCACAAGTGGATGGCTTTAAAGAAACATTGTTTGCTCACAGTTCTGGAGGCAAAAAGTCTAAAACAGGTGTCAGCCTTGTTGATTCCTGGGCAGCAGCCCCGGGCATTCCCTGATTCCTTCAAGTTTCTTGGCTTGTAGATGAGCCTCCCAAGGCGTCTGTCTTCCTGTGTGCATGCGTGCACGTGCATCCGTTCTGGTCTTTTTTATAACTCAAACGTGATTGAGCTTAGGCTCCATCCTACACGGGCCTCATTAGCATCACAAAAGAGAACCCCTATTTCCAAACAGGATCACAGCACAGGTGTAGCAGTTAAGATTCCAACACATATTTTGGAGGGACACGATTCAATCCATAACACACGGAGCGGTCATAAACATGTGCGGAGGCTCGACAGAGACCATTCCAACATCAAGTGACATAAAGTGAGTGGCGTCACCAGGTGGGGAGCAGACCGGGCCGCACTTCAGAATAGGGACACACGGAATGGCCTGGAAGCACTCTGGTCTGTAGGAAGCCTTTGCCCTCATCCTGCCTCCCAAACACAGCACCCTCTGGCTTATCCCATTCTCCCACTTGGGGTCTTGACTGTCCTTGTCCATGTTCTACCCACCTTTGGAACCAGGGGCATCTTAAACTGGCAGCCTCCTGGGGGAAGGTAGTTTCTTTTCATTCGCTTAATGCACAACTGGCATGTCATTGCTATAAAAAAAATCACGTGCTCCATAGGGTTTTAATGGCTGATTTTTCAGAAGTAGATCACCAGGCCCTTCTTCTGAGGCACCTCTGGGTGGACCTGACCTTCCAACCTTTAGCAGCCAAGCCTACTGATGTTTGCACCACCCAAGGACTCCGTGAGACTCTATGGGTGCTTGGAAAACAATGATAATGATAGTACTCCCCTGAGAAACCAACTGCCTTTAAATAGTACAGTGCTTTAGTGCCACCAAGGTTTTGGGAAAGCAAGATCGCTGGACCCACCTCCGGAGTTTCGGATTCAGCAGGGCTGGATGGGGGTCCAAGAATTTGTGTTTCTGAGAAGTTCTTGGAAACCTGATGGTTCAGTGGTTAAGAGCTACAGCTGCTGACCAAAAGGTCGGCCGTTCAAATCCACCAGCTGCTCCTTGGAAGCCCTATGGGGCAGTTCTACTCTGTCCTATAGGGTCACTATGAGTCAGAAACGATGCCTTACTGTTGGTCTGGGGACCTCACCTGAAGAACCATTGAAATAGAAGATGCTGGACCCCTGGACTTTTCCCTGATAGATGCAGAGTTTGAGGTTGTCACGGGCTCCCGTGGTCTGGATGAGGGTCAGGACTCCTCTGGGAGGTCAATCGGCCTGAGGGGGTCAAGTAGAAGGCAGAGGAAAGGGAGGAAGCAGGGCCTGGAGGTCCAGACTCTTCCCACACTTTGCAGCATGTGAATTGACCAGAGCTAAAAAGATTCTGTTCGCCTTACCCTCGACATGGGGAGATGTTTCAGATCAGTTCCTTTCTATGCCACGTCCATGGCCAGGGTGGCTGGGAAATTCCTGAATGTGGAGGAGCTGATCTCCGGCATCTGCTGGCCTGTCTCACTGGAGAGCTCATCTCTTCACAGAGAGCTCGCAGCTGTTGGCCCCAGGCTCCTGGCCACCACGTCCTCACCTTCTAGGGGACCCCCTTAGGATGGTCTTGAGGGGGATGCAGCTGCAGAAGAGTACAGTACAGATTTGGGGCGGGGGGAATAGATCCACTATCGTCACACGCTACCGTCTGTGTGTCCTCTAGGTGAAGCTGGAAGAAAACATAGAGTACCTGAGAGAGGAGATGATGAAGACTGAGGCAGCGCTGGCCCGACAAGACCGAACAGTGAAAGAATGGCAGGTAGGTGTCAGCCCCACTGGGCCCTTAGCCGCTGAGAGGGCAGGAAGACTCGTTCTGACCAGGTCAAAGAGGGGGAGTGTCTCCTCCACCACCCTGTGGGCAGGGTCTGCAAGACACCAGAGCACCCGCCAGGCCTGGTGTCCACGCAGCCCTTAGACTTTGCACAAGGTCACACCATCTCAGTTGTCACAAAGATCCCTACCCTTGAGGTGGGAATTACTGTTTCTGGATGAAAAAATGGAACCTCAGAAAGTTGATCCAAACCCAATGCTCAACCCAGAAAGACCATTTTAAAAACATTTAACAGGCTCTGCTGTTTTCAGGATTTTTTTTCTTTTAATTTTTTAATTTTTGTAGTTTAAATGAAGTTTACATTTCAAGTTAGTCTCCCATACAAAAATTTATACATAGTGTTATGTGACCCTAATTGCTCTCCTCATATTGTGACAGCACACTCCTCCTTTCCACCCGATTCCCCACGTCCATTCAACCAGCTCCTAACCCTCTCTGCCTCCCATCTCACCTCCGGACAGAAGCTGCCCGTTTAGTCTCTTGTATCCACTTGCGCTAAGAGGCACACTCCTCACGAGCATCACGTTATGTCCCACAGTCCAGTCCAACCCTGTCTGAAGAGTTGGCCTCGGAAATTTTTTTAGTTCTGGGCTGATAGAGAATCCGGGGGCCATGCTTTCTGGGGTTCCTCCAGTCTCAGTCAGACCATTAAGTCTGGTCTTCTTACTAGAATCTGAGTTCTGCAACCCACCTTTCTCCTGCTCCATCCGGGACTCTCTGTTGTGTTCCCTGTCAGGGCGGTCATTGGTGGTAGCTGGGCACCATCTAGTCCTTCTGGTCTCAAGCTGATGAAGTCTCTGGTTTATGTGGCCCTTTCTGTCTCTTGGGCTCATACTTTCCTTGTGTCTTTGGTGTTCTTCATTGTCCTTTACTCCAGGTGGTTGGGAACAATTGATGCATCTTAGATAGCCGCTCGCCAGCTTTTAAGGCCCCAGATGCCACTCACCAAAGTAGGATGCAGAACATTTTCTTAATAAGGTTTGTTATGGCAGTTGACCTAGATGTCCCCTGAAAGCATGGTCTCCAGATCCCTACCCCTGCTACTCTATCCCTCAAAGTGTTTGATTGTGTTCAGGAAACTTCTTAGCTTTGGTTTAGCCCAGTTGTGCTGACTTCCCCTGTAGTGTGTGCTGTCCTTCCCTCTGCCTAAGATAATTGTTATCTACTATCTAGTTAGTAAATAACAATAACCCTCACCCTCCCTCCCCACCCTCGTAACCATCAAAGAATGTTTTCTTCTGTGTTTAAACCTTTTCTTGAGTTCTTATAATAGTGGTCGTATACAATATTTGTCCTTCTGTGACTGACTAAATTCACTCAGCATAATGACCTCCAGCTTCCTCCATGTTATAAGATGTTTCACAGCTTCATCGTTGTTCTTTCTCGTTGCGTAGTATTCCACTGTGTGGATATGCCATAATTTGTTACCCATTCGTCCGTTGATAGGCATCTAGGCTGTTTCCATCTTTTTGCTATTGTGAACAGTGTTGCAATGAATGTGGGTGTGCATATATCTATTCGTGTGATGGCTCTTATTTCTCTAGGATATATTCCAAGGAGCGGGATAGCTGGATCGTATGGTACTTCTATTTCTAGCTTTTTAAGGAAGCGCCAAATCGATTTCCAAAGTGGTTGTACCATTTTACATTCCCATCAATGGTATAAGTGTTCCAGTCTCTCCACAGCCTCTCCAGCATTGATTTTTTTTTTTTTTCGATTAATGCTAGCCTTGTTGGGGTGAGATGATATCTCATTGTAGTTTTGATCTGCATCTCTCTAATGGCTAATGATCGTGAGCATTTCTTCAGGTGTCTGTTAGCCACCTGAATATCTTCTTTGGCAAAGTGCCTGTTGATATCCTTTGCCCATTTTTTAGCTGGGTTGTTTGTCTTTTTGTTGTTGAGGTTTTGCAGTATCTTGTAGATTTGAGAGATTAGACGCTGATCGGATTTGTCGTAGCCAAATTTTTTTTCTCAGTCTATAGGTTGTCTTTTTATTCTTTTGGTGAAGTCTTTTGATGAGCATAAGTGTTTGATTTTTAGGAGCTCCAAGTTATCTAGTTTCTCTTCCGGAGTTTGTGCATTGTTACTTAAGGTTCGTATTGTGTTTATGCCATGTATTAGGATTCCTAGAGTTGTCCCTATTTTTTCTTCCATGATCTTTATTGTTTTCGATTTTATATTTAAGTCTTTGATCAATTTTGAGTTAGTTTTTGTGCATGCTGTGAGGTATGGGTCTTGTTTCAGTTTTTTGCAGATGGATATCCAGTTATCGTTTTCAGGATTTTGCTACTATATTAGTTTCCTAGGGCTGCCGTCACAAAATACCATAAAGTGAGTGGCTTTAAAGAACAGGGATTTATTTTCTCACAGCCCTGGAGGCCAGAAGTCCAAATTCAGGGTGGCTGCAGGGCCTAGCCTTCTCTCTAGGGGAAGGTCTTTCCTTGTCTCCTTCCATGCCTGGTAGTGGTGGGTGTTTCTGGGTGTTCCTTGGCTTGTAGATGGATCCTCACGCAGCGTCTTCCCCCGTGTGTGTGACCCTCTCTCCATGTCTGCTCTGTCCTTTATAAGACACCACTCAGAAGGGATTATGATTGGGACCCACCCCACTTCAGTAGGATTTAACTGGTAATATCTTCAAAGGAAAAAAAAGATCAAACCGAACCCGTTACTGTCGAGTTGATTCTGACTCATAGCAACCCTACAGGACAGAGTAGAACTGCCCCATAGGGTTTCTGAGGCGGGGCTGGTGGACTCAAACTGCCGACCTTTTGGTTAGCAGCCATAGCCCTTAATCACCGCGCCACCAGGGCTGACTCTCTTTCCCCGAACAGGGTCACATTCACAGGTACAGGGGTTAGGACTTCAGCATATCTCTGTGGGGGACACGATTTAGTCCATGACAGCTACTCACGCAGTACCCTTGGGGGCGAGTGGCCTTCTGCCCGTGCCCACCCCCCACCTTCTCCACTCCTCTGGCCCCTTCTCCTCCTTATGCTTCTGGGGACCCTTGTGGAAAGCAGGGCTCACGACAGCTGTGCGTGTGGAAGCGTCCAGGGCAGCAGCTTCTCCTGGCTGCTCCCTAGTGAGTCCTGAGGAAGAGCCGAGGTGACACCCAGGAAGGAGAGGGAATGGCCCTGGACTCCAGGGAGTGATTCTCTACATTGAACTTTTGGGGCTTCTGGTCTTTGCCTCTAGCCCATGTGTCTTTGCTACACTGACCCAAGATTTTATTTCTAGTTTTCACTTCATGTTTCCTGCTTTTGAGGAGAGATGCCATCCCAGGCTTCCTCCTCTCTCCAACGCAAGGAATGCTTGCTCCAGGGGACAAAAACTCTGGACGTTTGTGGTTTGGGGTTACCCAGTAGGTTACACCACAATGACAGTGTTGGGGGACTCTTGGGAGACCTCTGCCTTACCCCTGGTTGCAAATTTAAACCCCCAGCCCTGGCCAGGTTTGCACAGGGGGGTGCAGGTGAACGTGCGCCGGCGACTCCTGGACCGGCCCCTCCAAGAACAGGCCCTGCCCAGCCGCAGCCATTAGGAAAGGAGCGGAAGGCGGCCCGCCTAGGCGCACGCACGTGGAGGTGGGGTGACACCGCCCCTGTCTCACCAGGAGGAGGTGAAGAGCCGGAGAGACCGCATAGCGATGGAGTTTGAGAAGATGTGCATCTTCCTGGCTGAGGAGGAGAAGCGCCTTCTCCAGACCCTGAAGAAGGAGGAGGAGGAGACGGTGGAGAAGCTGCGCGAGAACAAGGCCGTTCTGGTCCAGCAGAGCTCCTCCTTGGAGATGCTGCTCCTGGAGCTGGAGGACAAGAGGGAGCATTCAGCGCTGCAGATGGTGCAGGTGAGGGGGCGGTGCCCCGGAGGGGAGGGGGCGGTGCCCCGGAGGGGAGGGGCGGTGCCCCGGAGGGGA